ATCAAAACCAGCCATATTTTTCAAACCTTTAGAATATGTAGGACTCAGTGTTGGTTAAATTCTAAGGAAACAAACATAGCTATTTCACCCCATGATCTTGTTAGAAAGGCAAATCTATAAACACAATAACAAAATACCTTATAATACAGTGTGGCCCATATGAGAAGTTAAATGAATGGAATATTTTTTTAAATGAGGCTTTATTCTACAGGAGAGATTGAGGCATCAGCTATTACTGGAAAGCTCATATTTAAGAGGAGGCCAGTGAAGGATTGTAAATTATTTCCTTATAAAATATGGTATGCTTTGAGCTTAGTTTTAATTTTGGCATTTCAAAATAAATCCCTCTATAACATGCTCCATTCCCATAGTCAATTTGTGAGGACTTCTACCTGTCAAGAAAAACTAACCAAAAATGCCCCTCCAGAAGTGCCATTTTGTTGTTGTTTAATGAGTTGTATAAGACTCTCATAAATCATGGGTAGGATTAACTGTCTAGAGGATATTTTCCCTAAAGTAACACATTCTATATGTAATTTGGAGGCATTACTACAAGATTTAGGACTTACCTTTTTAGTACAACGAGTCAATAAACATAAAAGTGGGCAATGAAAACAATTGCAAAGTTGAAAACATAACAATTATGAAACTAGAATTAAAATGAAGATGAGTAATGTTGAGGGGAAAAAATAAAATGCTAAGTGTGGTTTGTAATTACTGGTTAGGTTTCCAAAGAAATTTGTAAAACTAAATGAAACAGTGAAATTAAATGTAAAGAAATTAAGGCCAGGTCTAGGCCATAGTAGACATTTCATGAATTATTACATCAATACTAGTAAGGAGAAGTTTTGTTCATGGACACACATTTTCTGGTAATTAGAGTTTATAAAGTTCCAAGTTCAGATGACCAAATAGTAATCTGGGCCTATACAACAATGCATTTGTGTTTAGTTATAATAACTGAGTAAATTGCCATCCTCATTATCTAACCGGGCAGTGCAGATGGCAGGGTTGTGGGAGTGGTGACCCTCAATGCCCCCTTGGAAAAGCCAACACAAAATATTATTCACTGAAATTTTAACAGTACATTTGTGCCCATCTTATCCTTCCTTCTAGACCAGTGTTTCTCAATCTTTCTTAAAAGTTAAAACCACTAGAGAGCTTTGAAAAATTCCTGTGCCTAGACACTAACTCCAAATGAATTACATGAGAATCTATGGGGAGGAGCCCAGGAATGAATATTTCTCAGAGGTTCTAGGGAGACTCCACTGACCAGACAAGATTACAAATACTGCTCTGGAAGACTATATACACATCTAAAGCAGAAACTGTTTTAATTTTTTTTTAATATGTCAACTTATACACAATACATAGCATAGTGCTTTGCTCATCTGTCTTCATTGAATAATGTTACAAAAGAATGAATGGACAAATAAATGAGTAAATTTAGCCAGGATATAGAGTTGAATGTCCTAGAAATTGACAAGTAACATGCCACTCTACTAGTTTATCTTCCAAATTAATAAGGTTTACTAAGAGGTTTAGCTAATGAATTTTCCCCAAGTTTTTCTTGGTACTACACTCATTCAATGTATGATAGGCTTTGGTGGAGCATTATAATGAGAGTATTTTTTCAGATTACACTGAGATGGCCTTTGTGATCTACTCTCTATGGATGAGTGATTGGAGTTAGAGCTTTTTTTAAAAAAATATTTTTATTGATTTCAGAGAGGAAGGGAGAAGGAGAGAGAAACATCAATGATGAGTGAGAATCATCAGTTGGCTGCCCCCCGAATGGACCCTACTGGAGGTCGAGCTCGAAACCCAGGCATATGCCCTGACCAGGAATTGAGTTGTGACCTCCTGGTTCATAGGCCTCAACCCCTGAGCCATGCCAGCCAGGCAGAGCTTTTTTTTGTTTGTTTGTTTGTTTGTTTTAAAGCAATGCTCACAATTCCCTGAGCTGGGGAAAACTGGGTCTTCCTCCTGTATGTCTCCTTTGCTCTTACCTTACTAGCACACTCACAACACTTCTGATACCAGATATGTGGGGGTTTTCTCCACATCAAGCAACTCTGTGATACCAACTGGGGGTTTCTACAATTTAACTCAATTTCAACACTCTCTACCCAGAGAGAGCCTCAGATCCCACAGGGTAAGGGCTCAGTTGCACAAGACTATCCTCCTCCCCGCAACCCCACTTCAAATACCAATAACATAGGTTGTTACCTATGCTTCTAACCAATTGGCTATTAATCAGAACTTCCCATACCCACTTCTTGAGTTAGATTAATTTGCTAGAGTGTTTCCCAGAACTCAGGAAAATAGTTTATTTACAGTTTTAGTAATTTATTATAAAATGTTATGATAAGAGATACAGGTGAGCATCCAGATAAAAGAGATGCTTAAGACCAGGTGTATATGAAGGGGCACTGAGCTTCCATGCCTTCTCCAGGACCACCATTCTCCCAACACCTCCATGTGTTTGCCAACCCAGAAGCTCTCTGACCCCAGTACTTTGGGGATTTTTATGGAGACTTCATCATGTAGGTATGATCGATCATTAACTAACTCCATTTTCATCCCCACCCCAAATTGACCTTCAGGTCTACTCTCCCATGTACTAGTATGAGTGATTGGACTTAAGAGCTTTTAAACCAACAGCTCACATTTGTACCCATCACCCCACTCCATGCACAAACCTATCACTTTGACTCTATAGAAGAAGCCAAGTCCTTGATTAACTAGAGGGACACACAGGTCTCATGCATTTGGGGTTTCCTAAGACAGCAAAGTGGAAGGTCTGTGGAGCAAAGTGGAGATGTCCTTTATCTTCCCCAGATGTCAAGATGCTGAAAAATGATATTGCTCCTACCCCAAACCACTTCACCTTCCTGATATTCACAGAACCATCAAATAGAAAGCAATTATGGATTCCAGTGGAGTTTTAAAATTTGAATTTTAAAATGATGAAACGTGTTGGTAATAAATGCTGGATCGATGACAAAAAATTTAAGCTTAGAAATATTTAATTTTAACCTAAAGGGGTGTTTGTTTTCTTTAAATTGTGGAAGGCACATTTTAGCATCTGCAATTGAAATTCTGAACACTGAAGTTACAAACCACAAAACTTCATTTAAATTTTATTATAAAGACCTTTATTAAGGGGGAGAACCTATTTTCTATTTCTTACTTTTATTTTGTGCCTGGAAGGACCTGTAACTATGGAGGTTCTTCTGAATCCAGTGGAGAGGAACTCTTTTTTCTTATTATTCTCTCTTCTTACACCAATTTTCACCATGCCAATCTTAAGACAGAGAGAAAGCCGGATTTTTGCTATTTATAAAAATGATGAAGGGAAGAAAGAAAACACTGGCTTAACAGACAAATGTTGTAAGGAGTAGAAAGCAATGCTTAACAAAAGGTACCTAAAGGAGCCATGTATGGATGCCCAACCATGTTATTTTGATCATTTCTAATACTGTCTTCGTAGATTTTCTTCCACTTCTCTGCTAGCACAAGCTCTCAATTGCAGAGGAAGCAGTATAGCTGTGGGAAAGTTGCAGAGCAGTTGGTCATCAACGTGCATTAAGGATACTAAGAAGGCCAAATGGTAGTATCCTCCGGGTGCCAGGAACAAGTGGGACAGATGAAGTATGTCCAAGCTCTTTTGCAGGGTCTTGGGTCCTAGTGTGTGGGGCTGCTCCCTCCTGAGAAGGTAAATATTACCCACTCCTGCGTGGCCTTCCCACCAAGGACAGAGTCCCAGCGATGAATCTGTTGGACCGTGGCCAAGGTACCCTAAACCTTTCCAAACACCTGAAACACGAGGTTGCAAGTTTCCGGGTTTAAGGGATAAGGCGGGAAAACATGATTGGGGATTTCCTCATCCCACTTACCAATCCGAAAAATGGGGAGACCGATCTCTAGGTTGTCCGTGGACCTCTGAGAGCATTCCTGGGCTGCCCACTATTAAAAGACAAGAATCCCATGATGGACAACTAACAGGCCCCGGTGTTTCCCCTCAAGCCCTATTGTGCGTGCTGGTAATTGTTCCCTGTTTACCCTTTGAGGAACCCAGGTGGTCTTTTTCGAGTCCTTAAGGTAGTCTTAGCCCCTGCAGCCCTCCGGTGCGGCACAGATCACCAGGAGGGGAGGGCTGGAGAAGCGAGTGAGTAACAGCTCACTCACACCCTGCGGTCCGTTCGGGTCCCTGGGACAGTGGCCCACTCACAGCGCCCCGAGGGTTCGCGTTCTCTGCGGTTTCCCGGTCCCCAAGAACAGCGCTGCGGGGAACCTTCCCAGGGACTGGGAGTAGGGATGGGGGCGCAGAAACGGGGTAGGGAACGCCACCGACGAGGAGGTGGGGTACGAAGAGAAGGAAGTGGAACGCCATGGAGGGGCGGTGGGAGCG